CTACTTTCCCAGTAATTATATTGTCTTAAACTGAGCATTAAAGCTCCCAGAGCAGCAGGACCTACCTCTGCATGTGGGAAAGGAGGCTCAGGAAGATACACCTTAGTTTGCTTATTATGACAAAGCCTGAATGTATAAAAGAACAGAGGAAATCATTAGTTGGATAAAAAGAAAGGAGATGAAGTAAATGAAAGAAATGTTAAAGCAGTAGAGAGAAAGAAGTGCTGACCACTCAGCAAAGATCTGAGAGAACTCCAGCGAACTGTTGGCTACAGGTGAGATGAAGTAGAAGGGCGTGGTTCCCAGGTTGGCGCTCTCAATGAATTGGTACAGGCACTCCAGCAGGTCGTATATCACTCCAGAAGAGTAGCAGGGGACCAGAACGTTGCCTCCTGCCCGGATCGTCATGGCTGCAGGGCCACATAGATTAAGTCAATTAAGTCAAAGATCTAAATCTAAGAAGACAAGCGAGTTGTTTGTTTCTGAGATTTGAACCCACCCAAGTTGCTGCAGAATTCTCCCAGCATGCCGTCTGGGTTGGCAGTGGGCATCTGTGTGAGGCCGGTCAGAATCAGAACGTCGCTGTTCTTCAAGGAGCTCTGGTCCATCGGCTGAGGGGAGAAACAAAAGGAGTGTCCGATGAGGCGAAAAGTGATTCAGGATGTTTAGCTTCTAATATTTAGCGCAGCTTCTCCTTAAACACTGACCTGCGGGTGCGTGGTGAGGAGGGAAGAACCCGACACGTAGGACACCTTCTCATGATGCGACTGGATGATCCAGTTGGAGCTGCCCAATGAGTAGCCGGAGCTTAAGGGGGAGACCTGCACAGCTCCAAACAACTCCTGAAGGACAGTTAAGAGTTTTAGAACCAAAAAGAACTTGAGCATGAAACTTCTTCTGTGTTTAAAACATATTAACCCAAAATCAGAAGCTTTAAAAGAAACAAAATTAATGGATTCTGGTGCATAAATACAGAAAGATAACTATTTTGATTCAATCAAACTGTATCCTAACAGCCTAATAACCAACGCATAATCAGTATTTCTACAGCAGTCTGCTACTGTGGGGCTACTATCTTCTACATTCCAAAAGAAGTAAATGAAAATCTAAATCTGTTTAAAAAAAGAAGTAGCTGAGCATTTGCCCGAGTAGAAACCACAGGAAAGCAGATCTTACCACTTTCTGGGAGTAGCCAACAAGCTGCACCTTGCTGAGGGCTGAGTTGACCTCCTGCATGCTGTAGCACCGTTTCCACGTCCACACGTCCACCGCATCCTTCAGCGGCCCAGGAAGCAACCTGGTGTTCAAGAACATCATTGGTAAGCATCATGCAAGGTTTGGTGAATTAAAGTGGACCTTTAGAAACATATTTACTAAGAAAATTGTTCAGGTGTTCAGTTTCCCCACCTGCTTTAAAGACTAACCAGGGTGTGAAAGGGTTTAAATTAGTTCCTCATTTGTGACTAATTTTTAGTATTATCCTCTAAAGAATAAACCATGGGTTAAAAGTAAATAAAATAGGAATAAAATAGGAAGGCTGCAGAAGAGAAGAATTAAAATCTGTCCTTTAATGGTGAAAAACAGGGAACCTGTTTTGCTAAGAGCAGCCGACTAAACACTGAAAGCTCTCTTCAGCTTCTCTCTAGCGCTCTATAAAAAGCTAAGCAAGCAGGTTCTGCTGCATTTTGATCTAAACATGTCCCACTTTCATTAAGAGCCTCATAAGTAAAAACTTGTTTCCTTTAAGGTCTTCCTCCTTTATTTTATTATTTATTTTGCACTTAACTGACCTCTGTATTTCCTTGTTCTTCCAGCAGGTGGCAGACTGAGCTTTAGGAACCCTCTCCATGAAGTTCACCAGCTCCTCCATCAGCAATCTATGGAAACATTCAACCATCAGTGCTTTAAATCAAACATTGGTTTATTGATTCTTCACATGCGAGATAAAGGAGGAAACAATAAAGGATTTTATTGTAGAATCTGAAAGCGACAGGTTACAAAATAATAAAAAAAAATAGTTGTAATAAATTTGTACTTAAGAAACCCTCAGCTTTTTGAAATCATAAAGAACTGAGGATTGTGTAAAAATTACAGGGGATAGGTGCATCGTTTACACATTCCACCTTAATTTTTTTTAAGGTTTAGATTTATCCTTCACTGACGGAACCTCATTCATAAATGACCTTTAGTTATGTTGCTGTTCTGTATTCTTATCCCCCAAAGAACACAACCGCCTGCCCCACTGTGTACCTTCCAATCTGCAGAGTGGGCTCCGTGGCGTACACTGTCCCTGTGAAGCCAGTGTGTTCAGTGATGTAAGGCAAGGCCATCATACAGTGGTAGTTGGAGATGAGGATGACATCGATGGTGGAGAGGTCCAGCAGCTCCCTCTGTGATCAATGCAGATTGAGGGGAACCAAAGAAGAGTTAGTGGTTTGGTTTCACCAAACCAAGATAAGGGATTAAATCAGATTTTTCCAGATATGCTGGGTTCGTTAAGAGACGTCACCACCATGTACTTCATAACCTTCCCTGATGACAGAAGAATGAACTACATCTAGGAGGGATTCTACAATCTTGCAACTTACATGACCAGCTAACCACAGAAACATTAAGATATATCACCCCTCTAGAGTGTATAAAAGGATTTACATACATTTATTAAGTGAAGTTCATTATCTGATCCCTTCTGAAATAAGCCTCCCTTTGTTAAATTAAAGGGACAGATTTTCTGCTGATGTAAATTTAAGAAAAAACTGAATGTTTTAACAAAAGAAGAGAAAAATATCTGCTTTGCAATAAATGTTTTACAGCTAGATTGCATTGAAGGAAAAGACTACATGGCAGAAGCTGAATGCCAAGGCAGAAATCTAATGCAGATCTATCAACTGTTAGATCAGCACATGATATGCTGAATCAAAACTATTCAATTTGAGATTAATAGTTGTTTTTTTTCTGAGAATCAGTGGAAAGAAAATTTTTATTTTAGCCTTTTTAAGCCTTAAGTCAACCCACTTTTTTGCTGAATCAATGAATCTGTGATCAAGTTGATGGTCACTTGAAAAAAACTGCAGACCTGCATTTAATTAATTACCTACATCTAGTTGAATGTAGCCACAGCTGTGCAGCCTGACTCTTTTTCACAAAAGCTTATTTCAGAACTTCAAGGAGAAGAGATAAAGCCAGAGTCACTCTAGGACTGAGTTTGTTTCATCCTTACGCTGGTGGTTACAAGTGCATACTTACAAGGGTAATTGTCAGGAAAAAAATTTCTACACCATTGGTCAAACCCCCCCACATCTTCTGACAATCATCGTGGTTAAGCTACACACCTCAGGGAGGCAGAATTCTGGTTGGGAGTCCACAAATACTCTTCCAGCGCATTCTTTCAGTTCCTGACAGGATGGAGAGGGCAGTGATTAGTCTACATGTGTCATTGTGAGGCACAGAAACTAAATTAATACTACAATATACCATTTATAACATTTATTGAGAGAGAGCAATTTAATTCCAGGCAACGTCTCCAGTCCACAACTCTGGCAGTTGTAAACAATTTGCCATTTGTGAGTGGATCATGAATTGTCTTTCATCTCCTTTTACCTTTTCCAGGTTTATGGCACCATCCTTCGAGATCCAGCCTGGGAGCTTAGAGAGTCTTGGACTGATTAGACACAAAAATCAAAATGATATTATCAAGACAGAACAACAAACCAGCTAAATATCAAACCATATGAATACAATAATCTGACCTGTGCACCAGAGGAAGAGGGAGAAAGTTTAGGACAGACGTTGTGTCCAGTCCACAGTCCAGCATGATGGTGGTGGACTTGAATTTGAGGACATTGCAGGGCAGCGTTGGGTGGCCAGACAAACAGTACTGCACATAAACACATAATACTTTAAAAGTGTGTGCTTAGGCTATAATACAATGACCAAAGCCTATATATATCACAGCTACAGTCAGAAGCATCCTACCACTAGTTTTCACTGGATCGAGCAGCACGCAGAGCTCAATTTAACTACTGTCTTTGAGCATGTTGTTAGCTGCTTCTCCACCATAAAGGATAAATTAGCATCTAAAGCTACTTTCTAACACTGTTTTTTCAGCACCCTAAACTCTTTCTGGAATCACTATGACACCCAGTATATCGCTCATCACATATCATTGTAATATTTATTTTATTTACTCACCAGCTTCATTTTACCAGCGGTTATAACTGAAAATACGATCCACTTTAGCCTTCGTGGCTAACCTGCTAATATTTTGTATTACATTGTTCTGACACCAATCGGTTCATTTTTCTGACTGGTGTTCTCTCTCGCCCCCTACAGGAAGGGAGTGTAACTACACCACTCGTCTAACAGGAAACCATGTTCTAAAATAATTATTACGGTCATAATGCGCAGCGTTATTGTATTCGCTGCGCATTATATATATATATATATATATATATATATATATATATATATATATATATATATATATATATATATATATATAAAGAAATTACATTGGTTTCACGCTAAAGCTTTACCCTAATGTCCTAGTAAAAAAAAAAAAATTGAAGACTTTTATTAGAAGTGATTAAACAAGTGTCCAGGCATCGGAATGTGTTGAATGTGCTGTTTTTTACAGAACTTTTTCGGGCCTGTCTTATTTTTTTTCTTTGAAGTTTGTGGCTTTGAGAAAGGAGGGGCAACATATTGTTGCTGCAATGATGTCTACTCCTCAGCGATAAGCCGCTGTGTAACTTGTCTCAAACCACCGTCGGGCGGCGCGAGACAGCTTTCACACTTAATTCGGATGTTATGCGTTTGCCTGTTGACAGACCCCTGCGTGTTTTATATACATAAACCTACCTGGTTGACCTTAGCGCCTGCAGGCAAACCAGTAAGGCATTGGAGTCCGGTGGAAAAAGAAGTTCCTCCCCACACGTTTCGCCGGCAGCTAAATGATGCGGACCCACCGAGCCCCGTCTATTTACCACTGTAGCTTCGCCCTCAGCTCCTGGCTGTCAAAGTTGAACAGGTTTGGCCAGCCTCCGGGTGACTAACAGAGGGGCGTTATTATGACACACAGCTGATGAAGCAACACACAGAGACAACTATACTTTAATATAATTTGGGCTTTGTTGTTAGTCGATTGCTTTTCGTGATTTTGTAACAGCCGCTTTCTGCGGGAGGGGTTTAGTGGATAATAGTAACGGCGGTGGTGGATGTTTTCTAATGGGCGATTGCTGCAGATAGCGGTGAGGAAATTTCACGAGCGGGCAAAGAAAGGTAAGACAAGAGCAAAAATAGATATTTATAGATGAACAACTTCACAGTTTTGTTAAAGTTTTGCGTTGGAGCAGTTTTTGACTGTCTGGGCACGAAGTTAGTGAAAAAGAGCGGAATTTCTAATAAAAAACAGGAGCAAAAAATAAATAAATAAAATAAAACAAACAAAAACAGCCTCTTAGATAATTCCAAACTTTTGTGCCAAAAATAATCCCAGTTTCTAGGACCAGTCGTTACCTAACCGCGGGGTCAGAGTACATAGCAGTCAGGTTATGTGTTCAGGTTTGCATAGAATCATCTTATCTTATCAATGTAATGTTTTTAAATTAATTTCAATATTTTCAATCATTACTAAGTTTATTAAACAATTTATGATAGAAATTTGCTGGTTACCATTCCAGAAATGTCTCAGTCAGGGTGACTTTCTGTAATAAAATAGTACCATTAATGAAAACAGACCCTCAGCATGACGGTTCCACCACCATGCTTGACATGCATCTCTTTTCTTATACCATTAACATGTTTCTAACTAGTCTAAGAGTAACACGGCAGATCATTACACCTAAGGAACGAATTAGATTTAGATTTTATTTTGTCATTTTGTACACACAAGTGTAAACAAAAAATAATTTCTTTTAAGTATAGCTCTCTAGTTCATTTTTTTAAGTCCAGGTAAGCAGCAGTGATAAAAACTTTATTTAAAATTATTCAAAGCATCTGAGGATGACCTGATAATGGATGTCAGCTTCTCACCACATCTGTATCTTTTATCAGAACGGTGGCGGTACGCTCTGGGCTGTTTGGCCATGGGAAGCTCCTGCAGCAATCATCTGGGGATCCCTCCAGGGAAGGGCCCCTACCCTGTGGGCTGCACCGACTTCATGATGGACCACACAGCACAGGTGACGGCAACAAATCTATAGATGCAGACAGGGCCGGCTTTGTCTCTGTGTGTAGGTGTTTGATTTGAATAGTCATAAACAGCTGAGCTGTATTTCTTTCCATTGAGCCGCAGTCAATCAGAGGCATAAGCAAATGAAAGTAATTCTTTTGTTGTTGATTAAAGTAAAGGTTAAACAGCGGATGTGTCAAATGTCAGCTGGAGGGGCCCCCGGTTAATTCTGCCCAGGGTCCCGTACAGCCTCCTGTTGCCTCCTGGAAGAAAAAACGTTTTAAATGGGCCCTTTTCCAATTTAAATGTTTGTTTTTTAACAATCATGCATCTGTTCTAACAGGGCAGCTTCTTCAGACTGTACTATCCCTGCCAGAAGATGGAGAAGGCAGAGAAGCCCGACTGGATCCCCAGCGTGGAGTATTTCTACGGCCTGGCCGACTTTATGAAAATCAACAGGAGTTTGAGCGAAAAGATTTTCAACTACTTGTTTGGTAAATATCTTCAGTCGCAAACATCCCTGTATGTGCACCGTTTGTGACGTCTTCATGAGATTCTTCCCATTTTTACTCTCATTGTTTTGAAGCATCAAGCTCATTTAAATATCACAGATAACCCGTCCTGGCTCTCTGTAAAAAAGCTGTTATAAACCACATTCCTTTGAAAGGCTGACCTTGAATCATAACCAAGCACAGACACTTTTAATAGAACCTGTCTGACAACATGAAGTTGGCATGAATTATCTCCGCTCACATCGTGTCCTGACCTTAGAGAACAAACCAGCTGTAGATGTTCCTCAGCATGTTTTGGTAAATTCAGATGTTTATTTGAATATTTACCTTTGATCTTTGTTTGCATTATGGAGCAGAAGTTTGTCATTTTAACACAGAAAAAAGCAGAAACAGCTTGTTTCAATTCTGCATTTTAATTCTACATTAAACCGAGTTCTGCTAGATGCGATGGGACCACTGGAGTTACTGAGTCTGATTCTGATCTTCCATTTTTATCGCAGGCTCCTATAAGATCCCAGCCTCGGTCGATGCTCCGTTTAAATCCAACGAAAAATGTCCCGTGATTATTTTTTCCCACGGCCTTGGTGCCTTCAGGTACGCTCTGTGTGTGTAGATCTTTTTCCTCATTGCTGCTGGAGATGCTGTTAGCTGAAAAGTTTCTCTATGTTCCAGGACTTTGTATTCGGCTATATGTGCAGAAATGGCGTCGCGAGGCTTCATCGTGGCGTCCGTCGAACACAGGTAACTCAATTTCAGTCTTCGAGTTGATCAGTATTTTCAATCCGGCTGAATTTTGTCGCAGTAAGCTCCACCTGGATGTGACGAAAGCTGATTAAACCTGACAATAGGCATGGATCAGCTACTGGAATGAAGTTAGACCAAGGCTTAAAGAAAATCACACCTTTCTATTGTCCCACCTTTAAACAGTTTGAAGTCTTTATACTGAGACCTGATCTGAGATCTGTGGGAGGAAGCTACATGCAATCACAGAGAGAACATCCGACAATATAGGGAGACTGCAGACTGGCAAACCAGGCATCAGTCCTAGTGGTGTGGCTCTTAATGAAGGACAATAAACCTAATGATCCTTGCAACGTGAAAAGGGTAGTTTGTAGCTCAGATGTAAAATTGTCCCACCGTCACTGAGCCTCCTGCTGTGATAAGCAGCAACTAATGCATCGGAGTGTGTGTTTTCTTTAGACTGTTTTATAACTTCCCAGCACTGTCAGACTTCAACATCAGGACTATTTTATTGGCTGCCATCATGAATGAGGCGCTGAAGACAGTTGGTGCAAACAGAAATTAAATAAACGGCTCATAAACGCTACAGACAACGGCGGGAAGGTGAGACTTCAGCTCAGACTGAGCTGCAGAACGCCGTCTCCACTTCCCCCCCCCGTTGTCTTTGCTCCAATTCAGAATGTGTGGCATGACTTAAAAAAAAAAATAAACAGCAATGTAGCTAAATAAAACACCTCTGCTGAGAAGAGTTGGCTAAAATCCCTCCATAGAGACCTTAGAAACTCATCGCCAGGCAATCAGAGCTCTGCTTTTACATTAAACCACTTTCATTTGGATTAGAAATCATTTGAAAAAATCTTCCCACTAATTATTCTCTTTATTTTTCAGCTGTGATCTAAACTGTTTAACTCCATCATAAAGTATATTTTAATAGATGTTTTTAATTGATATTTTTAGGGCAAAACTCTGGTATCTTTAAGCGTGTCATGCTGGAGCCCAGGAATATAAAACCAGTTCGATTTGTCATTTTGAAGAAGCCGTAGTTGAATATTTGCCAAATGGGCAGCACCAGAGGGCAGCCCTCCCTCCTCCACTGTTTATTCATGGAGTCAGATTGGAAAGAGTGCGCAGACAATAGTCTGGACCAGGTCATCACATTTTCTTTTCAGCCTATAGACAAGAGGACAGTATGGAGATGAACAGAAAGCCAGCAGCTGCTCTGTAGCTCCCGTTGATTGAGGAACCAAGGCTGAATGTCGCTGGGTTAAAGCCACAGAGGGAGCACGTGGCTGCCGTGTCATGGCACACACATTGTCACAAGTCTGTGGCGTCGATCACTAGATGATGGTGATGAGGAGGCGGCAATATAGTTTCATCAGAAACCAAGTATAGAGGAGAAAAAACAAAGCAGCTGCCTAAGCATGAAAACCTAGATCTCAAGTCAGATTTGTTTAACTCGGCCCAAACAGGATGTTGTAATAAGGCTCAGATCAAATGTTTTGGCTGCATAAAGGAAGTTAATATTATCTTAAATCTACATCTGAGAGTCATCTACTCTGACTCGTTAGTTTAAAACCTGGACTCTATTTACAGCTTAATGTGTTTCACAGGTACCAGAACAGCGGAGGAAATGCTTATAAAGTAGATTTAGTTTGTTTGGGTCAGTGGCATCACAAGAGGAACCTGATCAGTAAACACCCATGCTTGTCTGCTGGTGGAGCCAGCTGCCTGGATAGGGTCAAATACCCATGAAATCTTTTGTTTTTTTAAATACAGCTCACATTTATTTAATAAACACTAGAAAGGTACCAGATAAATGTGTTTGGATCACTCCGATCAGATGGAGGTGACGTCACTAGAAGGATGTGTGTGTTTCAGCAGATTATTCCCAGTGTGGTGCCTTCAAACACCCTGCTGTTTTTCTCCCTGCAGAGACGAGTCGGCCTCGACTACATTTTACTTTCACGAGAAGACGGAGCCTGAGCTGACGCAGGAGAGCTTGCCCAAAACGTCGCTGGCTGCAGCCCAACAGGACCTGGTGAAGGAGTGGATGTACTACCGAGCTCTGCAGCACGGAGAGAGAGAATTCCCCCTCAGAAACAAGCAGGTCAGCGATGGTCGTCTCAGGAAGGTTTCTGTTTAAAAGTGCACAGTCATGCAGGAGGTTAACTAAGCTCAGTAGCAGGGCACAGTGGAAAACCACATCCTTTTTCACTTTTCTCTGGGGCGCTGCCCTCTTTCACTTTAATGTACCTGCAGTATTAAGGATGTAAACGTGCTGTAACTTGCAAAAAAAAAAAAAAAAAACACTTTGACTTGTTCAAGGAAAACACGTCTCTGTCTGCAGAGCTGAGACTTAAACCAAAACACTTTCTGATGTCATCTCAAAAGCAGCTTTTGTGTTTAAGGAGACATTTTATTTGCATTGAATTCTAGAAACCAAATTATTTTACATCAGGAACACAATGGAGCCGTTGTGCATTGATCGTTGTTATCTCATGTTCATTTGAAATATTTTCCCACCCTGTTTTCAGGTGAAACAACGAGCAGATGAGTGCATCCTGGCTCTGGATAAGCTCACCGCCATCAACTCTGGAGTAGCGGTGCAGAATGTTCTGCAGACTCAGTTTGACTGGACGACGCTAGAGGTTAGGAGCTTGTTTTTTTTTACAAGTCATGAGAGAAAAGTAACAGCTGACATAACATGACTGTTAAAAAAACAGCCACCTGATATGGTAACTTTAGAGAAATAAGAAAACCGTCTAAATCATCATTTTAGCCTCAAAAGGCTGAGATGGACATTTTGAGTTTTTGTGCTTTTTCAATTTTTTTTTCAATAACTCGACACTAAAATAAACTAGAATGCAAACAGAATTTCTATCAACTAATGTTTTCTGTTCTTCTGGCACCAGAACTCTATGGACCTGTGTCGGACAGCAGTGATGGGACATTCCTTTGGCGGAGCAACTTCTATTGAAGCCCTTTGCAAAGAGGTTAAATTTAAGTAGGTCTTTTCCTCAATACAAACTCATTTAGAAAGAGACACATTTTAAGGCCTGGAACTGAATGCTGCTGTGACACAATCAGCTGATCAGATCGTCCTTCTCTGAGAAGCATCCATCTCCTAATTATTTTCAGTGTAACATTTGTTTTTCTTCAGTTTGACCACAACAATATAAGGAAATCTAGAACTTTTCAGATTTGTTCTATGAATTAGTAAACTTGTCATCACGTATTCAGACAACTTATACCTTTAAAAAACAACCACTAACCTTTAGAAGTCAAGTAATTACTTAAAACTGTTGAGTGAAGATCTCACAGATTTGTTGAGAACCTCAGTGAGGAAACAGACCCAGGAACAGACAGGAAGTGAAGTTTAAAGCATGACTGGTTTCTAAAACGGTTTACCAACCTTTTCTCACAGAACTGTTCAAAACCGATAGGCTGAGCAAGATACCAACTCTGGAAGAGAGGAAAAAAAAAAAAAAAACAGTCCTGGGCTGGAAATCGATCATTTAGGCCTGCTGTTTATTTCCTTCAGAGGGAAAAAAAAAAGCCATTGTTGAATCAAAGGTGTTGGATGGAGCAAAAGTGTTAAAAAAGCCCTCTGATCAGATAAGACCAAAGTTTAATTGGTTGCAGAAACATCAGCCATAATGTTATAGTGCCATCATAAAACATGGTGGTGGCAGCATCATTATGCGGGTTTACTTCTCTACAAGGGGAACTATGAAACTGATCAGTGCGGAGGTTCACCACCTGCTATGAGGGTTACTCTAAATACAAAGCCAGGATTAATTGTTGGATCATTACTGATTGGTGTGTTGGAACAACATATTCTTATATGTTCGTATGAAATCGTACGAAAGGTTATGCACAGTATTTCGTGGGTTTTTGACGTATTTCCTCGAAAAAACATATCAGTGCGCAAGCGCAGCCAGCCAGACGAAAAAAGCAGATCAGCGGACAGACGTGCTTTCCACAGTGCAATAATTACTTCATGATGTCTCTCACTAGGTTGCTTGCTGTTTTGTATGTTAGGGTTAATTGTATGTTATTGAATGGTGCGTAAGATGCGCATGCGCACTGATATCTTGTCTCGAGGCAAGACGTAAAAATACGACGAAAAAAACGTCAAAAACCTACGAAATACTGTGCATAACTTTTCGTACGATTTCATACGAACTGATGAGAATACACTGGTTGGAAAGGTCCAGTTAAAGTCGCATCATAGATCCAGCTCATATATGGTCAGCGTTGAGCATTTCTTATTCTATCTGAAAGAAAAAGTTGTTGCAGCCGTATTTAATGGGCCTGAATACAAACATGTATTTGAGATAAAATATTTTTAAATATCTTTCATTTTCTTCCTATGCTTCTCTGTGTGTTGGCTCAAGTGTAACTGTTTAAGGGAAGTAGTGCTTTTCTCAATTAATCTACTGCAATGTGAATAATAAAGAGCTCTGATGTGTTATTTTGCTCCTGTCCCATTAGGTGTGCCATAGCTCTGGACGCCTGGATGGTTCCTTTAGATGATGAGATCTTTCCTCGGGTGAAGCAGCCCATTTTCTTCATCAACTCTGAGAAGTTCCAGTGGGCAGGAAACATCATCCGCATGAAGAAGCTGGACTCTGCGGTGGTTCAGAGGAAAATGATCACTATCAGGTACTATGAGGACGGCAGCAGTGATGGATGATTTAATACGGACTTTGTTAAACATGCTTTCCTTCGTCTGTCTCCATTCCTCCAGAGGTACGGTGCATCAGAGCTTTCCAGACTTCACCTTCCTTACGGGGAACTGGATGGGGAAGCTGTTGAAGCTAAAGGGAGAGATTGATCCAGAGCTAGGCATAGACCTCTCCAACAAGGCAACGTTGGCCTTTCTGCAACGCCATCTTGGTAGGAGAATCCCCTGCAGGTCAGTCTAAGCTTCACGTCAACCCATCTGCAAAGCTCATGGGGTTTTTATTTTGTAGGTCTGGAGAAGGACTTCAACCAGTGGGACCCTCTGATTGATGGGCAAGATGAAAACCTCATCCCAGGAACTAACGTAGTCCTGCTCCAGTCTGCCATCTGAACATCTCAGGAACATCCTGAATTATTCCAACAGCCATGAACGGTTCCTCTGAAACAGACTGAGGGATAACTTGTTGGATTGATAGTGAAGTAAAGGCGTCTACCTCAGAGCCAGGAAAGACAAAGCACCAAGTGTGCCGCTGATATAATGAGGCCTCAATGAACCATGGACCTCCTTTCACTGATGCCAAAATCAGTTTAGTTAAAACCAAGTATTCAAAGCAATTCCTGTGTTGATCTGAGATGCTTTATAATCGCTGTGGTACGTCCCAGAAGCGTTAATTTTAATAATCACATTTGGTACAAAATGTTTGTAATGAGCTTAGCCAAATAAACGGCCTCACTTCAGGGGTTAAACACTAAAGCCTGCAGTAAGATCCTGTTATAAATCACAGGTGTACAGCATGTAACGTTTTTAATGCACTGTCTGTAATATCTACATCTTTTAGAAAAGTCAAATAAATCTGGTTTGTTCCAAGTTTCTAGTTTCCATCCTTTTGCTGGAGAGATGTTGAAGAAAACACCTGCATCAGTTTACCTTATTTTTCATCAGCAAAGATGGAAAACCACAGATCTTTAGTGACCTGAAAGATTTATTGGGTCAAAACTGTTTCACAAAGCAAACTTGTATTTACACCAAACAGAAAAGGTTTGAACTCCACTTCAAAGATATGAATTAGTATTTTAAACATTTCAATCAGGAAAAACACTTTTAGCTGGAAAAAAACAAACACACTAGTGTTCCTATCACACACACGAGGAACAACAAACTCCTTTTTATAGAACAAAGAAAAGATGAAACATGAAAAAAATACATGCTGGTTTAACCAAAATCAAGACATGCAAAGTGAATCAAATAATGAACTGATCAGCTTCAAACTGGAGTCCACAAAGCTAACTAAAAGGCAGTCACTCCTCAGGTTGCTGCTCAGTGAGCAAATCAGCTCCATCCTTTATGATCAGGCAGAGGTGAGTAATCTTGGACAGCTGGGCCTCTAAACAGGAAACACAACATGAGGGGTTATCAGCTGAAGGAACAATGGCTCATATTATCCTCAGATCTCTGAATAAATGAAACTGGAAAACAGCAGAGCTAGCACTAAACAACTAGCAGCACAGTGGTTTATAGTGTTAATCATGAGGTGGGATAAACTTCATGTGATCAGACAGGATGCTGCTTATTGTAAAACAAATAGATCATGAAAGCAGCTAAGTCCTGCTTACCTAATGTGTTTGGATTCCTGCTGTGGATAAAGGAGGAACAATAAGGCCTTTATAATGCCTACAAATGCTTATTCAGATATTTTAAACTAACGTTTTGAATAAAACAAAATTTTAAACAAATCAATATCCACTCAACTTTATTATAGCTTATTTCCATAGTCTATTCTGACTAAAGGAAAATCAGGGGGAATGGAACAAATTTGCTTTGCGTCAGAGGACATTTCCATATAACAAATTTCTTTTTATAAACTGAATCACTACAAACTAACTGTTGAAGCATGGTGTCTGAAACCAGTTTCTAATCCATAATTTCTCTACATTCTCCGACTATAGCTTAGAAACTGAGTGTCTCACATCATCCCAGAGGGTTTCTACTGGATCGTGCTTCAGGGAGCTTTTATGAGCCATCATGCTTCAAAGTGGAATGTAGCTTCAATTCAGGGTTTTCGGGGTGGTTTTCTTCCACACTCATATTTTGGTTTCCATTCTGAGTCTTTTATTTATTGAATGTTTTTATTGAATTGAATGTAACCTTTTACATTCAATTCTTCCTAAAAATGATATTTTAAGAAATGAATGATCTTATAATTAATGATAATTGAACTGTATTGATCTCACATTTAAGAAATTTACCTCTGCATTTAACCCATTGTCCCATTGGGGATGGGACATCACAATGCTTAAAGAAGGAATGAGATCAAGAGAAAACAAGTTTTCAGCATTGAACCAAAAAAAATGTTTCCGCTAAACAGGCCATTAATCAGCTGATGAAAAGTTAAAGAGCACACAGCTGTTATCAGCCATAATCTGCACAGAAAATGTTTTTGGTCATGAATTTGTGACGCTTTGACCTCAGGCTAAGAAGTTCACTGAATCTAGTTGAACAAAAATATTTCTCTGTGAAGCAAGAAATGGCTCGTTTGGGCTTTGAAAGGGCAAAGATTTCTGTGTCGACAAAGCTGCTCTTCAGCGGCGGAGGGGTTGCAAACCTGCGTTTTGCCCGCAACCCTTTTAACACTTCCATGATAAATCTCTGCGTGAAAAAGTGACATTCAAACAGCTCCTGAACAAAACCAATGCGTTTATAGCTGACATTTTCAGACCGTAAATTACAGCCACAGGCCACCTTCATGTCCGAGCTTTTACAGAATCCTTTCTAATCACCTGATCTGACATATCCACACCGACCTGTGTGTGGTTATAGTAGACCACGGGCTCTGGTTTGGCTTTTGGGTGGATGTGGACCGGCTGATGTGTGGGCAGTGCTTGAACAAAAGTTTCACAATTGTTTGATGAGTCACTGATACGTCTGCGTTTTCCAGTGCGTGGGTGATCATCCTCGGACTCTCTGTCACAATCTGAGCCGCTTCCTACCCAGTCCTCCTCATCAGTCTCTCCCCCTCCGCGGTTTCACGGTCAGATTTCTTCTGAAAGCCATTTTCCAGTATTAGCCAAGGAGTTCTAGGTAGAATGTTGGTTGCTAGGCAACGGTACCAAATGTCAATCTACTGCAGGAAGAAATTACAATGCAACTAATAGAGCCGTCAAAACGACAGCTTTGGGAGATCGAGGTCAAATTAACCATATTTATTTTTTACATTTTAATTTCATTTAAAAAAAAACATGTGAAAATGAAGGAAATATAGCAACAGAAAATGTCAGTTAACATGAGCAACATAAGATTAATTTTAAATAAAATTATTTTCCTTTAAAATCTCAAAATGAGGGCCTTGGGAGTTCTAGTGTTAATGCTTGTCTTTTCATGGAGTTTTTTTTAAGATACTATCTCATTCTGATCAGATAATAAAAAGTCCATTCCAGTTAAACCAAAGTTTCAACCAACTGGTCAAAGCTTTTTGACTCTTAATCCCATTTCATTTCTTTCTGTCTGTCTTTCTGTCATCCAATGGCAGGTTCTCCAGGTCATAATAAGCCCACACAAGAACTGATCTGGTTTGAGGTGCTGAACTATTATTTTTAACACTAACAAATTGTGTGCAATTACTACATTCTCTAGTAGCAAAATATCTTCCAATGGATTCAACAGACATGATGGGAAAATGGAGAACAGCTTACCAAAACTGTCCTCTGCAGACGATGATGATTCCGCTGTGAGAACGGAGTCCTGGCAGAAAAATGTTTTAATTAGTTCAGATAAGGCTTTTCCTTCACAGCTCAACCCCATCAGTAAATCTATTGGCAGAATATAAAGATTAAAGATAAGCTTTGAGAGTAAAAGGACATTTCTCAGATCTGTTCACCCTGTTCAGCGGTGAAGGAATTTCCTCAGACTTATCATCTTCTGTGTCCAGTTCAGGTAGCTTCTCAGATCCTGTAGGAAAAGGAAAAATCTGAATAATTATATATATCAATTTAATACGTTAAGAGATTTAAACATCTGATACCAGCAGTACTTTACAATAATGCATTTGGAGCGTTGTGATACCTTCAGAGACGTCATCCAAGCTGAACTCTCTGATCAAACATGTCAACTCTTCCACCATGTCGCTCTGAAATGGGGCAGAATCAGGATTTACTCAGAGATAAATGCATTTCTAACTTAATAGTGGGAAAATGAAATAAAATCTGACATCCGTTACCACATCTGTGTGGATTTGTGGCTCTATATTAGCTGGTAACACTGCAGGAGGGAAAAGATAGCAACAAATGAAAATAAAATGGGGTCCAAAATGTGCTTAACCATCATTATACTCAAAGAAAGAAATAAGAAAGATTATAACCATAACTGGTAGAGGTGGGGTCTTCAAATGTTAGGATGTCCTGAAACACAGGATGGTAAAAACAGCTCAGAGATGCATCACAGATCAGAGGAATAAAATGCAACAGGAAACAATAAGCTGGACATATAAGTTGAATACCTTCTCCAGACTGGGAGGACATGGCAGCTCATCATGCTGGGGGACATCTGCTGTATCAGCAGCACTTTCTGGATGGGAAAAAAGAAAAACCTTTCCTAACCAAGTCGTTTAGGAACCTGGGTTATTCATTAAAAAAGTCCAATCCCTGCATTTTAGCAGTGAGACAAACGCTGAATTTAATGGAAAATAATCACTTAAATGTTCATAAAACAAAGTGGAGGATATTTGTCTATATACAGCACATTACATCTTCCATGACTGTAGAAAGTTAAGTGAAATGATGCTACTAATTAGTTATTAGATCCATTCAAATTTTTTAATGATACTCTTGCTAATACAGATGCTTTCCTTATAAAATTGCCTAACAGATTAGCCCTCTTGTTTACGTGGCCTTATCTATCATTTATAATTGCGATTAGAATTATTACTCACCAGATGATTCTTCCTGGACCTGTAATTTAATAACAAACACATTTTTTATAAATCAAACAACCACCAAATGTCTCCAAAAACATGTAATAAATCAATCATTACAGATTAATTTAACTTTTTCACATTCTTCACATTACGGTATCAACGTTTTTCAAGTGACAGACCCGAAGAGTGTCACTGTGGAAAAGAAACAGAATTCAAGACTTAACATATCCATTATTTATATATGCTGATATTTTAATTTCTATTAATTAGTAAGATGTTAAAAAAAAAGGAAGGAAACTGATGGGAGTGTAAGTCTGTTTTAGCTCATAAAAATCCATGTACAAATAAGATACTTTATCTTTCAGTATTATTTAATTTAACAGCAGGCTATACGAGACCCTAATAACGCAGCCGTTTGGTTTGTTTTCCTGAAATCTCCCTCTGTCAGGTCAGCCCTCAGTCTCCACCCCACCTTTTGTTTTCTTTTTCCACCATGTTTTTTCTCCCACACCGTTTACATTTGATCACTGCTGCACTTTATGAAAATTCTGTTTTGTATACACTCCGTCTGTACAAAAGGACAATAAAAGTTGCCTTGGTCAAAGTTATTTAGCAAACTCTAGCTGACTGGAGTCCAAGTCACATCATGGAGAGATAAAGAGGCAGAGTGTCTCTAAGAGGATGCAGAAAAAAAAAAAAGGTTGATAAATTCAGAGCAAGAATTACAGCAGAACAATTATCATGTAAAGCTGAGTAGTCGTCAGAGGCAGAGCAGGCTGTGAGGTGATAAAAAGCCACTGGGCAGATAGAGAAGAATGTCTGCATGAATCCTAACAGACTGTAAGAACTAGTTGCAGAATCAGCAGAATTAAATGAGAACATTTCTAAGTCTACAAGAAAACTATCACCATAACCGCCGCATTGGTA